TAGATCACAACTATGGCCCAAGATGAAGGAGGGAAGAGAGGGTACGGGAGGGGAGGGGGTTAGATCAAGGGAAGGTGAATGGTGGGATCACACCCATCGTGCATAATGCAAGGGTACATGTCGGCTCTATTAGTATAGAGTATAAATGTCTTAACACAATAACTAAGTAAATGAGGTGAGGTATATAACCAGAGTGATGTAAGAGTTCCTAATTGTATATGAAATCAGCACATTGTACCCATAAATGCATTAATATATACATGATCTATGTGTTTATAATTTAATAAAAAATAAAAAAATTAAAAATAAACATACAGAGCTAAGTATGTGCCTTGTAAGAACTACCACCTGTTCAGCTTCTGAGCTCAAAAAGTCCTGACTTACCAAGAAGAACCAACCTCAGTAAAACCTAAAAGTGAACCTCTTTCCAAAATGCATTTTTTCTGGGCAGCGCCTGTGGCTCAGTGAGTAGGGTGCTGGCCCCATATACCGAGGGTGGCAGGTACAAACCTGGCCCCAGCCAAACTGTAACAAAAAATATTTGAGTGTCGTGGTGGGCACCTGTAGTCCCAGCTACTCAGGAGACTGAGGCAAGAGAATCACCTAAGCCCAAGAGCTGGAGGTTGCTGTGAGCTGTGACACCACAGCACTCTACTGACGGCGATAAAGTGAGAGTCTCTCACTTTAAAAAAAAATACATTTTTACAAGTTGGAAGTCTGTGTTCCCTAGGCCCTCTTGGCAGTCCTTGGCACTCTGGTAAGTGTTTAATGGTAATATCACCAAGCCTGACTTTTAGCTGCATACATCCTTGTGATCAGGACCGAGGGATGGAATGGGGGGCTCCCCAGATCCCAGAGACTAAGCTGGATCAAGGGACTCCCTCTGTGGACATGTCCTATCCAGACTCACCTCCATGAAGGGGCTGAGGGGCCTCATGGGGGACGCTCCAGCTCCCAAAGCCTAAGCTGGATGGAGGGATTCGCTCTGCGGAGATGTCCAATCCAGACTCACCTCCACGAAGTGATTGCTCAGGGCTGGCCCTGAGTCGTTCCTGAAGGTCTGGCTGGCGTGGAGGAGCTTCTTGTTGCCATGCTGGTCCCAGTGCTCCCCGTAGCTCACTTCTAGCTGTGAGTGCAGGTGGCCCCAGCCCTCCTCATGCTGGAGCTGGACCTGGGACACACACAAGCAGAGGCCTTGCCTACCCAGTCCCTGGGCTCCCTCCCGCCACCACCCCTGGGATAGCAGTTTCCTTTTCTCAGGGAAGATGGTTCTATAGAAAATATTGGGATTTTTTTGGTATTGATTTTGACTTTGTAAAACACAGTAGAACCTCCCTACATTGACCACCTCTCTACGCTGACCACCTCCTTAAGTTGACTTAATTTTCATAAACCAAAGTATCCAAGGTACTCAGCCCTACTATGAAACTAATTTATAACTTTCATAGGAAAGCTATAACCCAATTTTAGCCCAGGAATATGAGGAGAGGGGAGAGGGAGGGGAGGGAGGAGGGTGGGCAGAGGGAGGGTGATTGGTGAGATCACGCCTATGGTTCATCCTATAAGGGTACATGTGAATCTCTCTAAATGTAGAATATAAATGTCTTAACACAGTAACTAAGAAAAAGACATGAAGGCTATGTTAACCAGTTGGATGAAAGTATTTCAAATTGTATATAGAAACAGTACACTGTACCCCATGTTTGTATTAATGTACATTGCTATGATTCATACAAAAAAAAAAACACCAAAAAAAATTTTTTTTCATAGACCAGACTTGTAGCACTAGTTCCTCATGTCAACCACCTCTGAATGTTGAACAGTTTGTTACAGTCCCTTGGGTGGTCACCTTACATTGGTTCTACTGTACTGCATTAGACTATGATCCGTTTTGATGACTAAGGTTTTGGCATCCCCTTAAATTTTGCACACAAGGTGAGTAACTTACTTGGCTCACCCTGATGGGAGTTGGAAGAGCCAGCAACCATGCTGGGCACCCTGAACTAATCCATGCAACCTCCAAGGCCCAGTCCCTACTCTCACATCACACCCTCTGGCCCCAACTCCCTGGACAGAACCTACACAAGTCAGGGTTTCAACTGGCAAGTTCATGGGATTCTGCTGCCTTCTCTGACCTCTGAACCAGGTGTCAGAGCAACACAGGGTCATTCACTGAACACATTTTGCTGAGTACTAAGCATGAACCAGGCACAGTGCTGGGCATCAGGTACCCAGGCCTGATTGAGCCTGAAGACACAGACCTTACCCTCACGGGGTGATGGTCCACTGGGACAGGCAAACCTTAAACAAGTGAATTAATGAAGTAGCAGCTGCGTCTGCCTTCTGCTCACCTGCCTGGCTGCTCTGGCAGACTGCCAATTCCTTAACTACTGCTTTCTCCCTCCTGCCCCAGGGCCTTTGCACTTGCTGTTCCCTCTGCCTAGAGCACGCTTCCATGGCAACAGAACTGTCTCCTATTTTAGTTTCCAGCTTCAGCATCACTTTCCCAAAGGAGCCTTCCCCCTGCCCTGCCCCACCCTGACTCCATTGCCATCTGCTCTCTGGGCCTCTGCTCTGCTCCCCACCCACAGCAATTATGTTTCCCACATTTGGATTTCTTGCTTTCTGTCCCACCCCACAGCAGGATGGCAGGGACCAGGTGCTGCCATGTCCACAGCTCTCTCCCAGGGCAGGGTACACCCAGGTGTTTATTAAGATCAGTTGAGTGTACAGACAGAAGACTTGAGGCTGGAGTCCCTGGATCTGTGAGCAAATCATCTCTTCAGGGATGAGTCTAGGGTATACAAATCACCAGCTGCCTGCACTTCCCTGATCACCTCCCTGGCCGGGCACCCACCTTGTGGCTGAAGGCTGGGATCTGCGTGCAGTGGAGGTCGTGGCCCAGCTCCAGCCGGTAGGTGCCCTCTGCACTGTTCTGTGTCTGCAGCTTCTGGCTGGTGCTGCACGCGTGTGCCGGCTGCTTCACCTGACCTGTTTGGTCAACACAGAGACCCCTGCCCTTCCTCTGCTGGGCAGCCCCTACCAGGGCTCCAAGGAGAGGAAGCCCACCCTCAGCTACCATCCCACCCTCCACTCCTCCTGATGTCACCCGACGGGAGCGTCCGTGAGAGGTTTTAAGAGACAGATGAATGTTCCCCAAGGCACTTTTTTTTTGAAACTGAGGCTAACTCTGTCCCACTGGGTAGAGTGCCATGGTATTATCACAGCTCACAGCAACCTCAAACTTCTGGGTTTGAGCAATCCTCTTCCCTCAGCCTCCCAAGTAACTAGACTATAGGTGCCAACCACATGCCCAGTGAGTTTTTCTTTCTTTCTTTTTTTTTTTAGTAGAAACAGAGTCTCACTCATACTCAGGTTGGTCTCAATCTCCTGAGTTCAAGCAATTTGCCTGCGTCAGCCTCCCAGAGTGCTAGGATCACAGACGTGAACCACTGTGCCCGGACTGGAAGGCATATATTTATTGGGCAGGTGCTTAGTACCATTCAGAGCCAACCAGGGACTAACTGGGATCCCCATGGTGACAGGGGAATCAGCCCACAGAGCCACAGCCCCAGGAAAGGGCACAGGTCCTGCCAGCCCTGCCTAGCCCCAGCCAGGCATGCAGCGCCGTACCCAGGAGACCATACTTGATCTGCAGGGAGCTGGTCCAGAGGCGGCCCCGCTGCTGCAGCAGGCCCAAGGCATGCAGGCCCACCTGTCCTGGCACGAAGAGCTCAGCAGCCAGGGATGCCACCTGTAGCCCATCCTCCATCTTCTTCTCCAGCAGCGCTGTGGGGAGAGCAGGCAGTGAGAGGGGCGGGCACGCGTGGCCAGGCTCCAGGGACCGACACTCCCAAGGTGGGGGTTCCCCAAACAACACCTGGAGCAGGGGAACCCCGACACAGGCCGCAGAAGACACCTGCGCTGTCCACGGTAAGCCCAAAAGTCACTTTTAAGGGTCCCAGACAAGTTTTTACATGAAGTAGAAAGAGACAAAACCAAACAGTTCAGAAGAGAGGGGGAATGATAGCACACGGGGACCAAGGAAACTTCACTTTCTGAAAGTTGTGCCTCTGCCAGGCTGATGTCCAGCCAGAGGCACGGGCAGAGAGAGCTGGGCCTGGTATTAAGATGCCAAACACCCCGCCAGGCAGTCAATAGCCACTGCTCCAAGGGTCCTCTGGCCCAGCCCCCAACCTTGCAATCTTCTGGAACACCCCATGGGAGGCACAGTGAGGGGCCGCCCCAGCTGGGCACCACGGCTGACGCCTGCTCAGGCTGCCAGAGTCCAGGCCAGACTGCATTCAGTTTCTTAAAAAATGCCTCACATGCATTTTAGGTCAAAATGCCCAGGGTATTTCTCTTTTTTTTTTTTTTTT